CAGTGCATATACTTAGACATTGTGATGTGCGTGTAACATCAGTGCAGTGCTCATGTTGGTTACCATTCACGAGACCATAACAAGGACCTGCGGCCAGCCATCATATCGTGGTTCTGACCTGCCTTTGGGAGGCTGACTCAGCCGTCTAGGTTGGCGAGCGGGTTCCTGCTTCTGGTCACCAGCCACGATGGTGCAGTGACCAGCCACCATGGTGCATGCATGGGTAGATCTGTCTGATATAAAGTGTTAATGCAGGCTTGTTAATACGTCGTGAACTTGCTATAAACAGCACTACAACTAGACAAAGAAAGAAGAAACAGAAGCTGCAAGGGACATCCTGTCTCTTGCAGCTCTATCTATCAGATGTTTTGATCTCTCTGCTCACATTTGGAGATTGTTTTCACACTGTGACTGAAGCACTTCTGCCCATGACTTATGGGTGAATTGGGCTTCTCATCTGCTTCAGCCAACAAATACACCTGCAAAGAATGAGTCTGCCACTGTGAATGACACCAGCCCTAAAACTACTAGTGACTGGTTTTGTTTCAAATGTTCAGCAAAACTTCATTTAACTACAAAGCTATGCTTGTCTTAGTAGTTTGGTAATGGGTGCAGTTTCAGTGTGATTGTTTTGCTTTCATTTAAATTACTTTAATTTTAAATGTTTGACATTTTTGTGTGAAAAACTGGCTCATCCTTTCCTGAAACGAGACCCTGCTTCAGTAAAACGATCCTGCATCGCAGGCATGAGGGCTGAATGGCTGCAGATGCTTCAATGCTGCCCAAGGATTAAGTGTTGATGTTTGAGAGCAGCAGCCATAGGCCGGTAGAAAAAGTGGAACCTATTCAAACTCACTCAAGAAATACATTTCACCATGGAAACTCACTTGGACTCAAATTCACTTAAATTTAGCTCAACAGAACTAATTGGGACTCGCTAAGCTGCTTGTCAACCACTCTCACTCAGGCTCAAACTTACCAACATATTCACGCTCAGACTTGCGATTTGACTTGTGTCTGAGCGAGCGAACAGCTGTCACTAGTCGCAATCCAATAAGAATATTTTTATGAAATATGCAGCTCACATCAGAAATTTTCGCCATGAATGTCCCATGAGCGAGTTTGTGAAGGGAGGTCTTGGCGACCCCCTTATCTCCTAACTTGCGCCTCTGTGCAATAACCGCATGAACGGTTGTGTGTTGATGTATGCTTGAACAGACTTGATTAGCAATGTAAGCAAATATGATGTCGATAGTTATGCTGATAGGCGGGTATATAGGAACATCGGTCAGAAATAAAATGTGGTGCTCACTAAGGCTCACCCAAGAAATACACGTTGAGCTTAGGGCTCACCACCTCAGACTTGCAAATATTTTCCTCACTCGGATTCAAGCTCATTAAAATTTTCCTTAGCCACACTCACTTTAACTCAAACTCATGTAATATTACTCAGCTGTACTCACTCAAACTCACGACTCGATCATAGTCCAAGTGAGCCTGGCCCCGTTAACGTCCAACGTGCCATTCTCGAATCAGCCAATCGCTGATACAATGACTGTAATGGGTAATTTTTGAGCTTGTAGCGCAATTTGTCGAGTGAAAGGAAAGCAATTTTCAGGTGAATTTGAACATTTATTGAGAAATTGTGGCCTTGTGCTGCACAACAATATTTGGCTCACCTGTTCTCGGGAGTCTTGACTACCGATTGGCTGCATTTTACGACCATATTCAATAAGAGTTGCAGTGCTTCTTAAACTTTGAAGAGGTTTTGCGGCAGTGCGAATTCTCTTGGATAGGTGCTTTCACAGCATAGCACTCTATGCTTAGTGAAATCACCTTCACAGGAGGTTATGTGCAGATCAATAATAACTATTTGTTCATTGCAAATACTTCGAAATTTTTAATAATTTAAAATCGAGTCGAAGTGAGTTTGAATACAGTACTGTTCCTTCAAATATTCGAAGCATTTGAATATTTGCACAACCCTGCTTTTTTAGCTAATATATTTGTATTTTTGCTCTCTCTACGCAATTGATTTCTCCCCTTGTTTTTTTCTCTTTCTCTTCTTTCTAATGGTTCTCCATCTTCTTTTTCACTGTCTCCTTTGCATCCTCCCTTGCCTTTCCCACCCCCTATACTATTTACTATTTAAGGCTATGATTTCTTCTGTCACCATGCATAAATAGCTGAAGAGTTATTATGCTCAGCTTTCAATTCGCTGGTTCAATTATTGCCTCGGGTAAGCAAAAAAAAACCAAAAAGTATTCTTGTTTTCTTTTCTTCTGCTGCTAAGAAGTGGTTCATTGCAGAGGGACCCGTCTTCTAAAGCGGCACAGGTTCGGAGGTGCCAGTTAGCTTGCCAGTATCCATTCAAATGTTATGACTGGCAGTGCAAGGACCAAGTCTGCAATAGACGCTCATTGGCGTACCAGCCAAATGTGGTACGCGTCCAGCAGAAACGCAAGAGGTGTCTGGGTGTGCTGCAGGGAACACCCATCAGCGTTGCTGGGACAGACAGTTCGTGTTTGAGGAGAGGCGCATGCACGGACCGAGGATATGAAAAGCGCGTCGCGTGTGCACTCAGGGCTCTCTCTGTGGCCTTCGTTACGGCCAATCCTGTCTCCTGTAAAAGCGCATCTCGACGCCTTGTGTTTTTTACACCTGTAAATATGTAAATAAATTGTGTGTTTCTGTCGTCAAGAAGCCTCTCAAAGGTGTCTTCTTCCCCGGCACCTGGGTGAAAGCCTGTGCCCCTAACCTCGGTCACATCAAGGTGTGCTTCCCAAAAGTATCACTGTGGTATGTATTGTGTGCTCACAATTGACAACAATGAAGGCATGGCTAAACTTGTTCCTGGTTTATTAACAGCCTTCTTGCAATATGTGCCTGTTTCAAATATATGAGGACTAGGTTTTCTTTTTTTTCAAGTCCTAATTTGTTCGAGATAAAACTACAGCGAATTCAAGACACTCATATTTGGAAGATTTAAGTAGACATTCCAGCTGCCCCTTTGCATAGTTGCCACTGCAATTAGGGCATCTCTTTTGGCCCTGTAGCAGCTTTTTTTATGCCCAGCCCACCCCCCACACACACATTAAAGACAGCCAAGTCAATTCTGTATGCCACTCTCTGTCTGTAGATTGTTGTCTACACAACCTGCTTCAATATTTTTATACTGTTTTCACACTTTGAGGCCACCAGGGTTGCCACCTTTTCTTAAACAAAAAACAGGCCCTTCAACGAGGGAAAGAGGGAGGGCCGAGGATACCTGGAGAATAATGTCCAACAATAGACACCATGTCAGGTCTTTGGCATACAGTGCCATTTGAAAATAATATTGCTTTCCTTGAGTCAAATAAACCTGATATAAACGCAAAAATGACTCACTGAGCTAACCTTCTAGTCTAATTGCTGGCATAAAAATATCCATGGTTAGAATATTGCTTCATTTCCATCACTTAAAAAAACAAATTGGGCGTCATTAAGGTTCGCTTTCAAGAATTGAACACGATAATGATACCCTGGCCCTAGTGCGTACTTCAAGCACTTGGTGCATGAAATATTTTCGAACTTGGTATGCACTCACTATGTGGTCTGAAGGAAATGTGTGCAGCAAAATGTGTGCGTTTTGTTATGGCTGGCCACCTTTTAACTATGAAGTACTTAAGATAATCACATGTTCTGATGCCTGATTACAATGCACACTTGTATCAAGAAATATTACTGTGATATTACATACTGAATTGTGAAGGCAGTATACAGGACACATGTGTTTGCAAAGCCTAACATTATTTTCATGCATTTTCAAGCAGATGAAGTTATTTTCCTTAATTTCCAAGCAGATGTGTGGCTGTGCGGTAGAACGCCTGCTTGCCATGCAAACGGCCTGGGCTTGATCCTCCCGCAAACTGGGAAATTTTTTATTACTTACTTTATTTGCATTTGCATGATTTGTGTGGTGTTGAAATCCCTAGGTTCATTGTTAGACTACCAAATGTCATGGTTTTCACTTTTATGTCTGTTTAGGGGTACAGTAATTAACTGGCCAGGAAGTGTAAATAGATCTTTCTTTATTTGGAAACATGCAAAAGTATGATAAAGTCAAGCTCCCTTTCCCTTGAGTAATTTGAGTTGTATATGTATTTTGAAATGGTGTTTGAAAATCACAGCACCTGTGCCATTACACCGCTTCGTGGCAAAAGCTTAGTATCGAGTTCTGGAGAATTTCTGCACGTTGCCTGCTTCAGCTCAGACAATCGTTAATCTGGCTTAAAATTATATAGTATATATACTGCATTCTCATCACTTTCAATTTTGCTTATGATGCAATTTAAGTTACCCTTCGTGAATTCATCGATATTTTTCACATAATAACAGAAGTTTACAGAACTTCATGGCTAAAAATAGTGTGACACAATCTTCACTAAAATATGGCCATCAGTTTATGAGAAAAAAGTGGGACGCATGTGGCTCATCGACCCATGAAGCATCTTTGAATAAGTGGGGTAACACATGTCACATTGTCTGATAAGGGCACTAAGCTGTAATTCTGCTGCCAAATTTCTTGCGCAAAAAAGCCCAGTGGAAGCAGTACAGAGGAACACTTCTAAAACTGTGGGAGAAAAATTGCAGTGAACCTTAATTTCAGATTTTCTACGCAATTCTGCGCCTCTGCCTGTGGCATTGAGTCTAGCGGCTCTGTCCCAAGGTCTTCACATACACGTACCCTTTCAGCTTGTGTCTGTCTTGTCGGTAGGTGGCGATAATATTGAAACTCGTCGAAAACAAGGAGAAAACAGCAGGCATAGATGAGTGCACGCATTCATATGAAAATAAAGAAAAAGGAGAATATTGCTTTTCATCCACATTTAACGAAGCTGTGTCTATGCATGTCTTGTCTTGTATCTGCAATGAATAAGGGCGAACATCTCAGTTAAGCCTGCATTTTCGCTAATAATTAAAATTGTGGTAATGAATCATGGCAAGCCAATTTGACGTGGTGTCAATGCACTGAATGCTGTAAGTATGTTAACAAATGCTGCATCATATTCGGGAACTCTACTCAGGTGTGACATATTTGCTTTTCTCATATATCTTGCATAATTTGATGATCTTGAAATTTCGTGTTCTCTTTGGCTTCCTGGCTGTATGAAGCAGCAATTTTGCCACATTTTTCCTTTGGCACGAAATTTTAGCAACCGTGTCTTAGCCACAGCTTTTGGTCTCATTGCCTCTCCTCATAATGATAAAAAATATCAAAGAATGTGCTGTTTTGTGGCATCCATCAAACATGAAAAAACAGTTATGCATGTATGCTATGTTGTTAAGCTATGCAAGGAACTGCTTCATTTTTCATTCGAGTGCACTTCCACAATGATTTTAGGCAGATATAATTTTTGCAAATTAGAAAGAAAATCTATAGTTGCAAGCTAAAATTCTTTAAAAAATCTGAACAGAAGAATCCATAAATTTGAAACTTTAGCTTCCTGGTACGCAATATGACACCGGCTGAAAAAAAATATTAACAGAATAAAAGATTTTAAACTCAACGTATCCCTGATACCATGCATTGTAAATGTGCAATATATAGTTTCTCAGTTTCCTTAATGTTTCTAGTACACCACAACTGGAAGGCATTGTGCTGATGGCAACGCAAAGTGGCAGAGAAAGTTTTACTGAGGAAAAAGTGGGATGCATTCATCCTATTAACCATCAAAAGGTTAGGAAATTGATGCTCAGCAGTGGAGCTTCCTCCACAGCAACAAAAAATCTGCATTGAACCACAGTGCATGGACACACCATCTCTCCAGTACTTTGCTCATGCACTCTGTCATGGCAGAATTTGGTACCAATGCAGTGAACAGCTGTAGCCCACTATTTTCAACATGTGTTGCATATAATACTCCATCAGCAACAACGGTTGGTGAAAACTGTTTCATTGCCTTTTTTGCGTTGCCAATGCATGATTAGACATTCTGAATTACGAGCTTTCCAGTGACATAAAAGAAATGTACATTAAAAATTGATTGGCCGTAGGAAATAATCAGGCCCTCGAAATCCACAGAACCGTTAAGAAAGGGTAAGTATTCATTGGTACAAGCACATTCCTGGAGCTGAGTAGCCAGCTGCGCTACACAACTTCTCAAGTCTTTTTTCTTTTAATGTGCCAGGGCGGATGCTGTGTATCATACTGTTGCACAAGTTTTCTTTTATTTTGGTGCACTTAACATTTTAAAAGTAAACTTTTAAAACATATACAGTTTTGCAAATCATGACTGTTGAATCGAACACAACAAAATTAAATTTGGAGTGTTAAATCACTTAACATTTTTAGAGATCGATTCACACTTGTGTAAAACACCCAGCCGACCGCTCCAGTTGCTGTTTTCTGCAGAAATATGTTAATGCTGGCGCCGTATGAATATCTAACATGGCATACAGTGTGCTAGGCCTCTGTGCGATAATTTAAGCGTGAACAGAAGCATGTAGCTAAGGTGACGTAGAAGCCGTCACTAACACTAGCCATGCGCTCCGCTGCTCTGGAAAAGTATGATTCCACCTGTACAGCTGCAGTGTTAGCATTTTTTTGGTGCATGAAATTCTCCATGTTCACTTTACATCTGGTCTATTATATAAAAACATGGAAATAAAAAGAATAACAAATAAAACCTTCTAGGTCTGAGTGAGAATAGAAGCCAAGCTGCTTGTGTGGCAAGCAGGCATTCTACCACAAAGCCACGTGCCTGCTGAAAAATAATTTTCATGCTTTACAAATACACGCGTCTAGTATACACGCTTCACAATACAATATGTAATATCGCAGTATTTCATGGTACAAATGTGCATTGCCACTGGCCATCAGAACGTGTGGTTATCATATTGACTTCGTTGTTTAAAGCAGCCACGAAAAACAAAAGGCACAAATGCTACTGGAGTATTCTCTTAGGACCATGTACTGGGTGCATATCAAGTGTAAAAACATTTCATGCACATAGTTTTTCGTGGTTTAAAGCATACTACACAGTACCTGTATTGCGTGGTCTATCCTGTGTCCCATCTCTGTGCTCTTCGAAGTAACTATGTGTACGTATCAACATGCTCACTTAGCCACCATTTAGAAATCCATTACGCAGACTGCAACTATATGCGAAACCCTTACTAGCACAAACCACCTAAAACATTGATTACGTAGTCTTAATCTGCAGTATAAACTTTTCAAGTAATGTTACCCTGCAAAAAGTATGCACTAGGTGGTTGGAGTATGCGCTAGGGATAGGATATCACTGTTGTGTTCTACTCAAACCTTGAGGGTCCCCTAATTTTTTCACCAAACAATTGTAAGATTCATAGATAGTAATGTTCCACTAGCATGGTATTGTAAATAATCACCCTTTTGGCCTATACTGGAAGAGTGGAGGGGGTGTTGTTAGGAGTGAATTTACAGGCTGTTAAGAGTGTATGGAAAATTTGACAGATTGTTGTGTAAGTATGCAAGCATTAGGGCATGTATGTTAATATTAAATACCTGAAAAAGATCACAGGCAGGGGTCCTGATAGGACTCTTGAAAGCAATTCATCCTAGGAAAGAAGTGATGTGTCATTGACACATCTGTTGAAACTTGGAAGGTCAGAAAAGTATTTCAAGCGTAGGTATGTGACGTTCCTTGACAATACATGACTGTGACATTGCACACTTCCATAGTGCACATGTGTCTGTTTCATAACATACTTGTTAGCAAAGCCACAACAGGGTGTTTATCAATTTAAATTTTTGCAAATTTAGTGATTTTTCCAGGTTTTTCACATAAATTAAAAGCAAACTCCATGACCATAATGTCTTATTGGAAAATGTGCGGTGGAAAGAACGCTTTAGCAGTAAAAAAATAAAATAAGAGGCACTCATATAAAACAAATGAACACATTTTACACATACACTCATAATGTTGTGAGTCTATGTGTTAAATATGAAAAAAATGTGTGTATCTGGCCAAAACAAAACTTGTGACCCAGGCACTGAGGAAGTTGGCTGTTTTGTTTTCGGAACAACCAGAACACAACCACACAAATAAAATCAACTGCAGCTGCAAGTTTGAAGGAGCCTGCATTAGTCCAACAGGGCAGCCAATGTTAGGAAACGTAAAGGTGGCGCTATGTCGCGGCGTTCGTATGAAACAAGGATGCAACAGCCCGGCCAGTTGGCTTACTGGAGCACATTCTAGTTCATTTTAATGGCTATAGCCTGCAGGCCATTTAGGACTGGATTAGATTACCTTGATCTAGACTACTGTATTTACTAATGATTTGCATCCCCGTCTCATTTGTACATGCCTAAAGTATACTTTTTAGCAAAAAGGAGCACTTACGTATTTTATGCGACCTTGTCTTGACAACGACTAACAACAATGTCGCAACAACGAAACTGTACAGCAAAATTTACTTTATCCTTTCTTTCACTCTTCTTTTTTTACACAATGCACACATGCTTGTTGGTGTTTTATTTCTTTGGGTTCTGACACGTGGAGCACAATGAAAGTACTCAGACACCTGCAATAAAAGCTGCGGTAGCGTTTGAAGTGCTGATGTCTGAATATGAAGTGGAAAAAAGGAATCTGTCAGACCGCAACTGCTCCCCCGATTCCATAGGTAAATAAAAGATGCAGAATCGTGAGTTAGGCAAATTGGTGAGTGTTCACCGTAGAATATTTTACAAAGGAACGGGTTAGAAGCAGTCAGAGAGGGTCACAGCGCTGATTTCACAACTGAAATTTATTTGGAAAAGGAAAGAACATATATAGAAAATATTGACTCATCAAAACTATGCACATGTACACATGTGTTACAACACAGAATGATTCATGTCTTCTCTAAGACCTTATGTTCTTCATCTAGACGGGTGTTACATGAAATACTTATGCACTTGTTGTTAGATCTAATGAAAATGCTTCGGCCACTTCACACATGCGCTAATCAACATGTTAATATTTGATATTTGTTTTCTACAAGTGGGGTACACACAGGGCTGGGTAGTATCGCAATAGTATTTAAGAGATACTTCTGAGTGTCTGTATTGCTGTATCGAGGCACTTTCAAAAAATATATTTTTATCTCAGTAGTGAAATACTTTTACGGTGTATCGCATGTATCACGATACTATCCAGGACACGGGTATCTTGTAACTTTTTTTTTCGTGAATGAGCTGAGACGTGTTGACAGTGGGGAAAACAATTTCTGCTGTGACCTTGGCAGTCCACGGCAAGATATGCACCCACCATTTCTACATTTCTGCTGAGGGCGAAACTGACTCCTACCTTCTTGAAAGCGAGCTAGTTGCTTTGCTACCCGCATCCCATGATGTGTTTGAATGATGGCCTGCTTCAGCGTGACAACAATGTTATACTGCTATATTGAATTCCAGCACAGATATTTTCATTGTGAGGAGTATTGTATACTGCACAATGGGCACCATTTTTTAAATGTATATCCTCATGCCAATAACGAGCAGTGTTTGTTTTTCTCGTTTTTTGTTACACTTTTCTTTTGCAGCGCCCATTTGAAAAACTGGAGCTTATTGCGGAAGCCACAAAACACCCAAAGAGAATTTGGTGCCATGTGCCATCTACGATACTTCTTTCTGCAGAGCATTTCTGAAAAACGCCAGCATGGCCAAACAGCGATTCGAAAGAGGTCTTTTTGAGTTTCCTTTCGCATTTCTTGTTTTGTCCGTTCTTAATTCTTTCTGCCTTTCCTAAGAAGTTTCTAGAAAACACTAAACCTTCAACTGGAAGTTCGTTTGTTTATGGTTCCAGCACTTCGCTTGAACTATGCTCCTTCTAGCATAACTAATAGTGTTGCTGTTGAGTTCCGGATTTCAGTGTACAATGCGTGTGACTGATGCTCTCATATGGCATAGTTTTTTATTGCAACTGATATCTGTAAATATGTGGTTATTAACAATTATGTGCAGTGTAAGCATCCTTTGTAATGCCTTAATGACACTCGGAGAATGGCGAAAATATAATAAATCAATTTCATTTGCAAGTTTCAATGTGCTGCACATTTTAAATATTATGCTGCACATAACAAATGTTTGTATGGAGTATAACTATCCCCGACATAGAGAAAAGTATTTTAGTATATGTATTCTGGAATACTTTTTGGTCTTTTTGCAAACGTATCTCTGAAATATCCTGTCACATGAATTACAAATTTATCCCAGTATCTGTATTTTATGCTTCCAAACCACGCATTTCGATATCTGCATTCCAGAAAACTTTTTCGGGCATCTCTTCCCAGCCCTGAGCACACATCCACATGGCCTACAACGAGCTGCCAAATTAGACGTGATTTTAGCATCTGATAGCATTAGCCCATGCTCCCTTAAGCACACGTTTATGTAATGCCTCATTTCACCTAAATATTCGCAGCTGCAAGACAGTGGAATCCCATAAACCACGCCAGTAGTGCAAGGAGCATATCTGTGGACATGACTGGAGACACATTTGTTCCCTTTCCCTGGCTGCTGACACAATGCTCTATCCACCAAAGTACACACATTATGCATTTTATTACGTGCTGAGAATGACATGTTTATGCAAAAACGAGCACCAACATTTTTCAAACCATGTGCTATTTCTGTGTATGTATGGGATAACTGCCTGCCTCTTTTTCTTGCTATTTCTAGTGCACTAGAATTACAATGATAAAACTTTTCGATCTTCGATCTTTGAAATAAGTTTTTCCGACAAGGAGCAAATCACGTCACTCTGAAAGCCAGAATTTGCAAGGCGAGCAACTTGTGCAACAAATGCATGTGCCATAAGTGCTTGTGTAACTTCTGAAGAGCGGCACCCAGCACAGTTGACGCAATGGCTCCCTGTATGGTTTTGAGTGGCCAGAATTAAAATTTAGAATTGGCTTTATGAATCTAAGGTGGTATTGCTATATATGTGATCTTTGACGAAAGCCTGTCTTAAATCGAGAAACTGTAGCTCATCAATTTTTTGAAACTCCAAAGTGAAACGCTGACATTTCGTTTTCCTTAACATCTTTCTTTATATTAGCAACCAGTAAAGAGCAATTGTTAATGGCCAGTAGAACTAAGAGGTCATGGACATATCAAACAGCGTGTGATGATAACCAATTCAAATGCTTTTGCAGCTGCCCGTTTACACACCCAAGAAAAATGTAACTAATTACAGGTATATTCATGATTCAATGCAGATACCAGATTTTTGGACAAAATTATTTCCCTTCCAAGACACAACAGTAGAATATAGGTGGCCTGCATGAGCTCTAAAAACGACGCAATAGAGATGCTACACTGGCACTGAAACAACAACTCATCATTATCCTCTTTCATGCACTGCTTTATACACTTCAAATCTTCACATTGGGGCAAACAATAATATAAATCTTTTACGTCTATACCGAATGCGTTACGGCACAAAGAAGGTTGTTAACTTAGTGATAAGATGATATATACTGAGTTAGAATTTCTTAGCGAATCACAAGTCTTCAAACGCTCCGAATTTCTTTGAATATACTCTGAAACATTTATTTACCAAGTGTCTTTTTCTGAAACAACAGCTCTTAGTGGCAACATGAATCTTCACTTAAATAAAAACTGATAGTTTTTGCCTTTTTGCTTTTTTCACACTTGTCGCTACATGTTCCTAATTAAGCGTTAGTAACAGGGCATAAACGTATTCGTTCAGTCACCCGCTTTGTGCATCAACACTTTTTTTATTAATATATACCCTAAAGGCCCATTCAGGCATTACGCAGGGGGTTTTAGTTATAAAATAAATTTGTAAATCAGAACATTGCCATTATAAAATTAAAGAGGTAAACAATGTAAAATATAGTTCATAGACAAAGATGCAAAAGGAAAAAAAAATTGTGGCAGGAATGAAAACTCAATAAGAAAGACACAGCTATAGTGCAAAAAAGTATATATACAGAAAATTGCCATGAAAAAAATTGCCCCCTATCTGCATATTTGACCAAAAATGTCGTCGAAAGACTATTGTATATCGCCTGAAACGAGTGAATAGACAGAAATATTTATTTGATGTTTTGCACAAAGAAAACTGGTGAATGGGAGCCTGGAGGTGTTTCGTGAGACATGAGTGCCATCTGGCGGTAATTTCAGAAAACGAAAGGATGACCTTTGTTATAGCGAGCACGCAGCACGCAGCATGCGTGCAATCTTGGAGGCCATATTTTGTAGATTTCAAGACAGGTAGCAGCACAGCATCGTCTTAGCAAAGCGTAGGAGACTCGCCTTTCTATGCGAAGCGTCGCATTGTCAGCTGCAGTGCTTAGTATTACTTATTTATACCTTTTCTAGTATAAATAAACACAGTGCACAATATCAACGTGTCGATATTTTGCCTCAAATATGCTCATTATTTGCTTTTTATTGACAATCGTACAAGTATGAACGCAGAAACTTGAGCAATACTGGTGGATGCTATGGATGTGGTCGTACTTGAGCCTTTTTGCTGACAGACCAAAATTTTTGCATTGGAGTATCCCAAACAAGACTATATTCTTTAAGGAGAAAATATATTTACAATGAAAGAAGAGTAAAAGTAAGCACATACATGCACTTACAAACTCACACAGATAGGTAAGTAATATGTCCAAGATAATATCGAATCGGTTTACAAAGGTGGCACGATCAATGAATCAAGCGATGTCTCTTGGCAGTGTGTTCCAGTGATGTGTGCTTCGAAGTAATGGTGAGTGTTGATACATAATTGTGCGTGCCAAAAAGGGTGTATTTTAAATTGGTGATCAATATGTTTCAAAATATTATGAGGTGCGTTTGTACAAGCTTCATGAAGGCACATTTACGATGATAAAATGTACGAAAATGCAACAACAGTGACGACAGTCTGCGTTTTTCAAGAAGGGGTAATGAAAGTGAGTGTGTAATATCTGTAGTGCTGCAGTTGCGAGAATACCACTTGGTGATAAATCCTGCTGCTTCATTTTATTTTAATTCTAGTTAATCGATGAGATATGATTGATGTGGGTTCTAGATGATGGATGCATATTCTATCTTTGAACGGACAAGTGTAGTGTATGCTAGCATTTAAAGGTATAGTTCACCACGTAAAGGTTTCGTTTAATAAATCCAAGTGCTTTTGACACCTGACCAGTCATGATATCGATGCGCTTATTCTAAGGCAGGTCAGAAGATAAATAAATTCTAAGATACTTAAATAGGGATACTTTTTCAATGGGGAGAGCTTGAATTTCATATTGACTCATTTCTGTTTTATGTTCTCTTGTAAACGTCATGGCCTTCGTTTTGGAAGTGTTAATTTGCCATGGGAACACCAAAATGCGAGTTTATTAGGGTCCAACTATAAGGACTCCTTAGCTTAGGTACTGTCAATTTTTCTATAAATGATGTAGTTGTATGTAAATAATTTGATAGTAGATGACAAACCATGTCCAATGTTGTTGATGTAAATGAGAAACAGAACTGGTCCCATGATTGATCCCTGGGGAACACCAGACTTTGCATGTGAAAGTGAAGATGCATGTCCATCCACATAAATTGATTGGCTGCAGTTGCTCAGAAAATGATTTATTGAGCTTTTTTCCAAACCAGTGGCTACGTTATCATTATACATAGAGCCATCTAGAGTTGAAAAGAAGCCTTCCTTGTCAGCAACCAAAACATGCAACTTAGCTTCCAGATGCGTCTCAGACAGCATGAACACCGTTGTGAGGAGTGACCAGGCTATGTACAACAAAGACAAGCTGAAAAAGCCAGTAGGCTTTTTTTGTGAAGCTAAGTTGCGTGTTTTGGTTACCTTCATGCTACCTTCATTTACGTACTCTTCTATGAACATAATGATAAAAAATACTCATGGATCTAATAACACCATCTCAAGGAAATGAAATGAGAAGAGAGTGTGCTACTCTTGAAATATCTGCAATAAGTGCATAGCGGAGGACGTTTGCAGCTGCATCGCCAATAATAATAATAATAGCAATAATATTATACAAGGCAAGACATAGCCCAGCAAACCTTTTGTGATGGCAGTTCTAACATAAGCACCAAACTAAAAGGCCTTCAAGCCAAGCCAAATTTGTGGCCACGACAAATATGCACAAATTCACCGATGTGAGAAATGCTGTGCTTGGAAAGTCAGATATGATATGTGATATGTAGAAGGAACATACATCAAAATAGTGCATGTACCAACATGGAAGCTAAGGAATGCTTTAGTCAATGGGAAGAATAAGCTGCCGAGCGAACTTTCTGTAGTCTTCTTTACACTGTAGTCTGCCACGAGTGTGACAACATGTCAGTCTATGAGACCTGTGATTTCAATGAAAGAGTTAAACAACACAACAGTTCAAAATGAAGTCGCCAAATCATGGGTGGCCTTGGATGCCCTCGCTGAACATGCGGCATATACAGGCTTTTAAATTGACTGATCAAGCAACCGTGTTCTGGTCGAAGAAAACAAGCTTGCATCATGCCAGCACCTGGAATCCCTGCACATTCACACAGCTGCACATATACTCAATAAGATTTATGGAACGCTCACCATATACTTTTGGTGCTTACATCACGCACCTAGTCATACTTAAATACGATGTACCTTTCTTATGGCTGTCATTCAGAACAATATCAGGTGCCCAAACATGAGTAAACTTTGTGTTATTTTGGTCGGTGTATCCTTTTGTTTGTACACTAAGAAGAAGCAGTTATGCATTGCCTTTATTAGGCCTCTTCTAGCTGTTCACTGTAGTTGCAGTCGAAGGAGTGACTTTTTGAGTATTGATCAAGGGTAATGCTTATTTTTGTGATGGTGGCACAGACTGCCGCCAGTTTCCATAAATTAGCCAGGTTTTACCAAAGTTCCTACAGTTTTCCAGCAAGGCCTCAATTCCCTGACTTTCCCAGGTTGGTAGACACCCTGCACAAACAAATATAGATGGCAGTTAACTCGCGTCCTGTGTTTCCTGTCGTATGCAAGTGTCATTCTGCACTTTATTACCTTAGAAGTACTTGTTGCTGGGCAGGTTGGTATAACATTATTAGAGAAAATTCTAGACAACGCAAATGTGTGGTGCAGTGTAAATATTTTTTGTAGTTCAGCTGCGACTGACGCTCTTTTTCTGTGCTTTTTCATTTTTCCAGTGGTGCTTCGGTATGTATAATTTTCCCCCTTAGCTTAATTACCTCCCTGAAGCTATGCATCATCTTGCCCATTAACAACTATTGTTAAACTATTGTATGTGGCATTGTTGATGCAAAATGACCTTAGAGTATATTGCCGCGTGCATAGCTGCATTTAGCGGCGAGATAGCGATGACAACGAAGAACGCGGATTTGCTCGAGAGGCGCAGCGCAGCACAGTGAAGAAGACGACAATGTTAGCGGCCTTCTCCGAGAGCGTCTCTACAAGTCCCACTGTCCGTGTTTTTAAATAAACCCCCTGTAATTTATAACCCG